GGAGGAAGCCGGAGAACTCGGAGAGAACCCACGCTGCACGGGGAGAACATGGAGACTCCACGCAGGAAGATCCTGGGTGTCCTCACCGCGAGGCAACAGTGCTAACCAACTGGTCCACCTTGCAGCCCATTATATATATATATATATAGAGAGAGAGAGAGAGAGAGAGAGAGAGATGTGTGTGTGTGTGTGTGTGTGCATACACAGTGTTTAACATATTAGACAGGTGATTAAACACTATATTTTCAAATTGAAACCATCTACTGAATCTGAGCTTTATTGTGTTACAGAAACTATGTGTGTCATGGATTTGTCAACAATGTGGAAGCCTGTTTACAGTCACACTGTGGGGACTGTACTGCCTTATGGGAACAAACAGGCAATCAGTGGTCATGAAAAGTGACCAGAAAATAAATGTAAGTCAGTGTGATGTTCTCTGAAGTGATGAAAATGTGACTGACTGTGTTCACGTCCTCCCTCAGTGTCTCAGATGGTGATTGAGGAGGTGAGCGTTCTGCAGACTCAGCTGGAGATCGAGAAGTCATGCCGGGAGAACGCAGAGGCCCTGGCCACAAAGGTCAGACACACACACACACACACACACACACACACACACAGACTTCCTAATCAATGCTATGAGATTAGCATTATCAGGGTTCAGCTGGCATTAGTCAGGGCAACTCTGCGCAGAAACTACATTATCTCTGTCAGTTATTGCATCCACAGCAGGAACCGTGTGCATATATTAAACTTGAATCGTGTTTAGATACATCAGGTGAATAATTTATACTAAAACACTGTAGCTGAAGTAGAAGTTCTGATTCCACACTGTAAAGACTCTCCATGACAAGTAAAACTGTGCTGAAAATGCTACTTAAGTAGAAATCTAATCAGGAAAATGTACTTAAAAGGTTCGAGCTTTGCATGCTGTGCAGTAGAGCTGGAACGATTAGTCGATTGCCAACTATTTTAATAATCGGTTATTCAGTTTGAGTGTCTTTTTTTTAAAGAGAACTCATGATTGCAGCTTCCTAAATGTGATTTTTTTCTGGTTTCTTTCCTCCTTTATGATGAACAAGACATTTGTACTACTTTGCTGTCCTGTACAGAATATCATTAGATCATTAGTTGTGATTAATTAATGTATAAACAGCATTTTAATGTTGGAATATGTTGAGCCGATTTTAAGTTTTGCAAACATAGCTGCATTGTTTTTATTATGGACCAAGCTGCTGATTGTTTTCTTAAAAATAATTTGTGTGTTTTGCCTGAAGTCTGACTGAAGTCGATACCAAACAGATAAAAATGCTTTGATCGGCCTCCGATCCTGATCTTTGACACCAGATCGAGGCAACTCCAACATAAATAAACATGAAAGCTACATCTAGTACGTACTGGTGAATGTAAAACTTTAAGAAGCCCAACATCTGTTGCTTCAGTATGTTGCTCTTACCTGACTTTTGACCTCCAGCTGAACTGCGAGAACAGAAAGCTGAAGTACCTGAGCCTGTCTTCCCGGCCGTGTTTGGACGAGCTACTTCCCAGCATTTCCGACTGCATTGCCCTGGAGGCTGACGCGGACGCTGCGGACGCGACAGATGTTGCCGACGGCAGCCCCGACATCTTCACCCAACACCAGCAGCAAGTCAAAGGTACAACAAACACAACTGTCACACAGCAGCAACAAAAGCCAAACTTTCTGCTGGAATGGACTGTTTGCCAGGAGCATGAATCCCATTTTTCACATGGACATTTTTAATCAGAGCACTTCATAATAAATAGCAAAATGTAGACACAATGGATGCTAAAGTTGATGTTAATGTGCATTAAATGAACTCACTTTGGTCTGTCAGAGCTGAGGGAGACGGTGAACAGCTTGTTGGAGGAGAAGAAGAACTTCATGTGTCAGATTCACGAACAGCAGCGACGGATAGACGAGCTGACTGCACAGGTGAGCCGCGAATAGCAGGACTGTTAACTCATGTGTTTCTTCTTCATGTTTCTTTGCCTTTTGGAGTCAAAGAGTCACAAGGAAACTAGACTCAGCATGTCAAACAATGATTCTCTTCTTTCTTGTGGGGTCTGTTTTAAAAAGTTCCCTTCACTGATGTGCAAATCTTACATTTTTAAATTGTAGCTCTTTACAATGACAGTCATCCAGTCCTTAGTATTCCAGTTATATTAATGAACAAATAACATTTCATCTTTCCCTGCTTGCAGTCAGAGAAAGATCAGACGGAGATGAAGCAACTTCACGAAACAGTCGCGCAGCAAAGCAAAACCATCAAGAGATTTAACAGAGGTAAGTGACGGCACACGGAAAAACTCAGCAGCTGTCTTTAAACAACTTGAAACAAAATAGTAACAACAGAACTTCCAGAAAACCTCATTCAGAGCTGTGAATCCCTTCGTACTGCCCTTTTACAAACACTGTTTCCCACATGCTCCGGATGTTGTTGAGCTAGTGCCTCTTTTATGTCACGGTAGGGAAGGTATTAATGGAAAGACTTTGGAGCGCCTTCACATCATTGGATAACTCAAAGAGACAGCTGCTGGTCGTATCACGCTGCTGCTTCTTATTCATTACTGCAGATTGCAGCGGTCTTAATCAATACACGCCAACAAAACAAAACACAAAGACACAAGATGTATTTCTTAAAAGAGCGCCATAACATCTAACAGGCAGTTTGCTATAAACACCACTTTTAATAATAAAGTGTAATTTGAAGTTGTGTTCAGTGATGATTTCCTGCAGAGTTGAACAGCTGAGGGTTAAATGTACAACACTAGCTATTAAATTAAGGCTTTTAATTACTTTGAACAACTGAATTGATGCCAAAAAAAAAGAACATAAACAACCTCAGTAAGGTGTTAAGCCATTTTAGGCGGCCAGAACAGCTTTAGTGAGTCTTTAAGCCTTTGGAAGTCCATTCTTCTACAGATATTCCCTCATCTGGTGTTTGAATTATGGTGATAGAGAGTCTGACACCATGCCGGCATAACAGAGGCAGCAGATCTCCCTCACTGTGGAGTCAAGGGTTCAGGTTGCTCCTGTAATTTGTCCTGTCTTGTAATTATAACTTTGATGCTGACACGAACACTACTTAGAAGTGGTGAAGCTGCTAATTAGGGTGACACCAACAGACGTCATGGCTTGAGCTCTAGAGGCAAGTCCATGAGAGAGAGTTGGTGAAAGTTTTAGAGGAGAGTGTTGGTGAGTTTTAAGCATACAGACAAAACAAAGTTATTACAACGTGAGTTTGATGGGTAATATTTTTTCTCCCCATTAAAGTAACCCTTTCTTGTCTTGGATCTAACTCTGACTGCTATGATGAAGGTGAACAAACGTATAGATATTCACCAGATGTTGTCTTTCAGTAAAGAATGGAGCCTAGTGGACACTCGTGGTATTGCAACGACACAATCTGCAGCCCAAAACACGTTTTCCACAAAGACAGCCATGACAAAGAGACATTCGACAGGAAACCTTCATCTGAATATAGGGCTGATTTTGCTATAACTGTAATTCACATGAGTAGTGATTCGCACAAAGCGGAACAAACCTGGATTATGTGCCTGGCGTTGACTTTATAGAACTCTCCGTCTCAGGGTTCCTGAGCCGTGGTTCTGCGGCTTAGGGTGGTGTCATTCACAGTGCATGACTCCTAATAACCTATGGCTAATCTGAAAAGCAAAGAGGCGAAGCATGAGTAGAGCTGATGTAGACCATTAACTGTCCTGGGACGGCACCTAGCTGCCGCTCAAAGCAGTCTTCCAGAAATGATGCATAACTTTAAGTGTGAATACAGTTTCACCCCCCGTACAGATGTCATGACCAGAGAGATTAGCTGCACAGACCAAAACCATTCTCGTAGCAGGCTGCAGACATGTTTATTTCTGCTGTAAAGTTGGATGTTTTAACATGGAGCTCTGTGGGGACTGACTCACTTCTGGACATTTATGGAACTGCATTTGGCATTTCCACGTTGGCTTCATTTTTCTGCCCATGCCAGAAAGTTTTTTTTCAAGTGAGTGGAACACATCTTTGTATCCAGTATCTTATTCTTGGATAAAATTAACCCTAAATTAATGCTCTCTTTTTTTTTTTTATTCAACATACTTCCTTTTTTTTTCTCTGTAGTTTCCATGATGGCGGCTCAGGAGTACGAGGGGATGAAGGACCAGCTTGACTTGGAGCAGAGCCTGAGAGTCCAAGCTGAGACGTACGCTCACGAGGTAAAGAAAAGGTCACAGAAGCACACTGCTGTCGAGGGGAAGTCGAGGCAAAGTGATGTAGCGTGCTGCTGCAGGAGGGCAGAATGCAAAAAAAACTAATCCTGGGTATGCACGTAAATAAAGAGAAAACAGCTGGACTTCTGGACACTGGGGGTCAGAAAATAGCCACGTCATCACATATTTATAGCTATGACGTTACCGTGGTACTTCCACAGCAGATACACACCAAATTTGCTTTTGGTCTTGACCAGAAAATATGTGGTTCTTTAGCTGCAATACGTTCCACTTTCATCTCCAGCGCTCCTTTAACTTTGGTGCTAGGCAGGTCATGTAATCTACGACTGCCTTTATCGTTATGTAGGAAGTCCTCATTGGAGAAACCAGTCAGAGGCTTCACTGCAGAGATGCAGTTTGATAATTTTGTCACGTTAAAATCAATTCCATTTTTTATCAAACAGATGCTGGTGTTCAACATGATGAATACAATACGGCTCTGATTCCTGCTGCTGTCTCTAAATAGTTCTGTCTTAACTCTGTCTAATCCTCCAGTCTGATCACATAATTAGTGATGCTGCCGTTAGCTTCAGTGATAAACACTGACCTGCATTGCTGTGATGGTAATTGATGTGTGTGTGTTAATAACCTTGTGGTTGATTAATGATTGTCCTGAATCTGATGTTTACTGACCTGAAAAGTGAAAAGCCTGCAGGATCAGAACAGACTCTGTATGTCATGGAAAAACTGTTTGGTGAAAGTAAAAATACAGAAGATGTGAGTTTGAATTCCACTTAATCCCTTCTCTTCCTTATCCTGTATCCATCTTTGTTCATGTCCTCCTCCTCCTCCTCCTCCTCGTCTTCTTCTTCCCTCTCTGCCTCCTGCAGATGCTGGTGAGGCAGAAGGAGGCCAACAGGCAGAGCATGCTGCTGCTGCAGAGTGCTGAGCCCAGCGTTCAGCTGCTGAAGGCCCTCGAGGACATCGCTGCCGTCACCAAAACACTGGAGGAGGAGCGTCAGCAGCATCAGCAGAAGGTAGAGCCCCGAAAGTACTGTCTTTTCTTTTGTACGTTTTCTTGTTGTTCCCATAAATAGTCTGACTCACTGGATGTAGACTGAGAGAACAAGACTGGCTGGCCGCACACTCCATGTAGCGTTCTCTTAATGTTTCCCCCAAACAACAACCTCCAAGCAGCAACCTGCCACACTGAGAATGTGTGCAGCACAGCGAGGTGTTTCTTTTTGTTTTGTTTTTTTGTGAATTATCCATTTTAATGACAAAGCAGAAATATCATGTGGTGTCACCGGTTTGTCGTGGCACTGCGACACACCCCTACGAGTCACGCCAAAACATCTGGATTGCCCCCTGGTGGCTGGTTGCAGTATAAACCTCATAAACCTCAGCATGTGTTTATGTCTGGGTGTAGGTGCAGAGCCTGGAGGCCAAGCTGGAGCAGAGCTGTGTGAAGAAGCAGCTGGAGGCTCTGCAGAGGCAGCTGGAACTACTGGAGGTTGAGAAGAAGGAGGCGGAGGGACGGCTGGAGCAGGCGGAGAAGAAGAACGAGGAGCTGGAGAACAGAGGTAGGTGGAGGTGGAGACACTTACACAAAGCCTTCAGACATGCACTCTTTTCCATTAATCTGATAGCATCTGATGTTCAAGGCTTTGTAGCACACAGCTATGCCTCAAAATGGCAGCTACATCCAGAGAACTTTTTGAAGTTCCACATTGCGTTGGATGAAGCATTTATTTCCTTCTGTTTTGACATTTCAGCACCAATATTGGTCCAAAACCATGACGGAGAGCAGATGTTTGTTGCCACAATCATAAAATACCTTACCTCAGTTTGCGCGACACTTTCACATCTATTACCAACTGAAATGTCCATAAAAATCTAACTTTACTATAATGAACACAGGTTTGGCTCATTGCTTCCAGCTCGGCAGCCTCAGACAGCAGCAGCATCCATATGAGCTGTGCACATTTAAATGCACCAGCTGTAACTTTGCTACGACTTATAGATGTAAATGATCGTCATCTAACTGGACTGTGTAATTATTGTGAGCTGTCACACAGTCAGTTTATCAGCTGCAGGTAAATCTTTTGTCGTTGCGGCTTCAGGTTGAGTCCTGAGCTCCATCATTGCCGTCAGGATAGTTTTATTTTACTGTTGGCAAAGTGGCAGTTAGAGTATCATCACACATGGATCGAATGTTCACTGTTTAGGAAATCAGAAATAAACAAGGCTGGCAGTTATTTGGACAGTTTGATAAGATCAGAAGAGTCCTCTGTTCATTCGTGCATATGATGAATTATACATCACTTGATGAAGTCTCCAGTCTGGTGTGTGTGCCGTGGTTCCGTCTGTTGAGCTTATGAAGTCAGGAGTAATGATGGTAGAAATAAACTGTGATACTGAGACATGTAATCCTGGAAACCTTCGGCCACACATGGGTGGAGATGCACCATTGTTGCATGTTCTGATACTTTGACATGCAATGTGGCCCATGTTGATTGACCAGTTTGAGCACTTTGATCAAGCTGGACATCAGTTCTACTTTAAACTGTGCTCCTGTCATATCTTGCTTCGGCATTTGCGCTTCACGAAAACTCACAGAACTTAATTTTCATAATTTTAACTTGCTGTGGAGAAGTTAAAAAAGATGACAAATGGGTTAGGATAAAACAATTGTGGAAATACACTGCTCAAAAAACTAAAGGGAACACCCAAACAACACGATGTGACTCCAAGTCAGTCACACTTCTGTGAAACCAACCTGTCCAGGTAGGAAGCAACTCAAAAGGTGTGTTTGCTTCTCTACTGATGCCGACACGAACCATTGAACCGTTGAACCGTGCTGCAAGGAAAGCTGGCAGACATGCAGAATTTCTCCCTGCTCCCATCTGTCTGCTGCTTTATAAATGGGTCACACAAAGTCAGAGCCAAACCCACCAACTGCCTTTAGCCGTTAAGAAACTCAAACAAAAGCCTCTTTCATCGGTGGGCTGCACAGTGTCTGG